TAAAAAGTGTGTGGAACACTCCCCTTTAAGTTGTAGCCTGCATGCATGCCAGTCACTCTATCCACAGAAGTTCTTCTTAATAAACAGAAAGCTTGGATTTTCCTGGATTTTGTTATGCACGTGGAGAAGGTAAACATTAGAATGGCCTTTCTAGCTATTCCTATATTTTACTGTACTTGAAAAAGTTGGTTGGGAATGATCAAGAATTCTATATGTTGATTTGATCTTTCCCTTGTCATTTCTGAAAACAGTAAGTGGTCTTCAGGGTGCCCATGGACCAAATCATGCTTCTGTGGATTCATATGTTGAATCCCTAACCCCCAGTGTGACCATTTATGGAGAGAGAATCTTTCAGAGGTAAGTAAGGTTAAATGACGTCATAAGGGTGGAGACCTAGTCCAATAGGACTCTGGCCTCTCTCCTCTCCCTCTACCATGGGAGGACAGAGAGAGAAAGTGGCTATGTCCAAGCCAGAGGAGAGCCCTCACCAGAATGTGACAGTGCTGGCACCCTGATCTTGGATTTTCAGCCTCCAATACTGTGAGAATATAGACTTCTGCTGTTTAAGCCACCCAGTCTCTTTGTTGTGTTTATGGCAGTCTACACTGACAGAGCGAGGGCTCAGCTTGCAACGATGGTGACACCCTGATTATTAATACAGTAAATCCCACAGAAGCAGAGCTCAGTCTTTTTTTTTTTTTCAAAGAGAGAGTGAGAGAGAGAGAGAATGAGAGAGAGAGAGAATTTTAATATTTATTTTTTAGTTATCGGCGAATACAACATCTTTGTTTGTATGTGGTGCTAAGGACCGAACCCTGGCCACACGCATGCCAGGCGAGCGTGCATCCCCAGCCCCAGAGCTCAGTCTTAAAGTGACTTTCAAATTCAAACATCATTTGATTTGGAGCAAGTCACTTTATCTCTAAGACACAGTTTCCCCAATTATAAAATAGGGCCAACAGTAGTCCACAAAAATTTTGAGGTATAATCATAAAGGGACACTTATTTAATGCTTGGTACATAATGAAGATTTTATATAATTAGAGCCACCCTTAAAGACTCAGTGATTTCATAACATTGTGATGGATAGCGYGGGTAGGAAAACTCTGGCCCACAGCATTCTTGTAAGGGGGATAAAGTCAGGCTATGTTGTACATTATTTATTTTTTCTCATTTCCAAACATGTAGCTTAAGAATCAGCTCCAATCTGAATGAAACAGATGCACACTGTCCCGTGGTAGAAGATGTAAAATGAGTGTTTTTCTATATGCCCATGATGTGGCTTGATCACAGACTTCAAGTAGCCACCGTAGACATCTGGGCTTGCCCTCTGATGATAGTGAGGGGGCTACAAACTGGATCCTCTAAGGAACAGGTCTGAGTCGACGTCCTGTGGTCTGTGAGTGCCAGTGACCCCACCCAGCCTGGTGCCGAGTTCCATCATCTGCTAGTACCTTCTGCAAGGGTTTTGCTGGGTGGTGTGCTCATTTGCTGGGAGTGTGACAGCCAAATGTCACAGACTGGATGGCTCTGGCATAAGGAATGTCTTTGCTCACAGTTCTGGGGTCTGGAAGTCCGAGAGCCAGGTGTCGGCAGGGCTTGTTTCTTCTGAGTCCTCCCTCCTTGGCCTGCACAGGGCCACTTCTTGCTGTACCCTCACATGGCATTTTCGCAGCACCCTCAGCCCTGGCGCCACCATGTGTGTCCAAATATCCTTTTAAAATAAGCACATTAGTCAGACTGTGTGAAGATCCACCCTAATGGCCTCATTTTTAATTAACCACCCCTTTAAAGAGCCCATTTCCAAATACAGTTACACTCTGAGGTTCTGGGGATTAGGGCATCAGCGTATGATTTTGGGGGGATCAGGGATATGTTCACCCACAACAGGTGCTAACCCAGGAAGTTCTGTCCCTTGATGCTGCCTTTTAAGATTTTTCTCAACTGATATGGGGGCCATGCTTTAAGATTAAAAGCTGTGACGTTCTGGTTTCCTGCCTGTGTCTGTGTGCGACACACTGGACAGAGTCTCTCTCTTCTTCTGGAGAGAATCTGTTGACTCTCCTAGTGGGGGCACTCCGTTCAGTTCCCATCTTCACGCCACTTCAAAGTCTCCAAAAATGTCCCCAGCTATCCCTGCCTGGACTGCTGCTCACTTAGGTACACCTTCAGAGGCTGTGCCCCTCTGGCACGGGAGACCATCACRAGCCCACACTGCCTCTGAAGGTCCAAGTGGAAAGCTACACCAAGGCCCCCACGGCTCATCCTGCCCCCCAGGTCACCGACTCCTGAACCCAGATGCAGAATTGTTTAGGGAATTTTTCTTTCTTTTCTTTTTTTTAAAAATAATAACAGTCACTATCAACTTTTATTTAACTTTTTAAATAATCTTTGTTCTTTTTTAAATATTTATTTATTTGTTTATTAGTTTTTTAAGTGGACACAATATCTCTATTTTATTTTTATGTAGTGTTGAGAATCGAACTCAGAGCCTCATGCATGTGAGGTGAGTGTGCAATCACTTGAGCCACATCCCCAGCCCCAGGGAATTTTTTCCAAAGGAGATTTATAGTTTAGAATTCATCCCAGTTGATTTTATGACCCTAGAAGGTGACGTGCTCTAAGCAAGCATGAGCCTGCTTCTTGATCACAGCCACAGGCTGCAACACTTCTCATGAGGTCGCTTCAAAGGGTGTTTGGTGAAGCAGCCCGGGAATACTCCTGTTTTTAATGAATAATATTTCCACCAGCCTTTCCTCAGAGTACCCTCCCCCACGGGAGGAGTCCCTGTGTCCTCAGTGCATTCTCTTGGTGCTTTACTCTGTTACAAGCAGAATCTTAGAAAAAAAATATTTATCATTCTGGAATAGTTTAAAGCCTTCGGGCCAAGGTTACTTGTAAATGTATGAGATTTCATAAAACCCTTTGAATGCAATTTTTAAAATATTTAATGCCACCCRACTGTTCTGTCATGTAAATTTCATCTTCTTTCATCTTGCTGGATCATGCCTATCTCTGTGGGTGCTTGAAGTCAGGATTTGGGGCAGGCTCTTCTGTGGGTGCTTGTGTAGTTGTCTATATGTGCACTTGAGGGAAGAGTTCAATGCTCCTCTGCTTTCCTGAGTGCCATGGAGYTTATGTAACGCGGGGCATCCACCTTTCCCTTCTCAGCAGCAAGGCAGCAGAGCCCCTGGGGATCCCGCAGGTTTGAGGAAGGCTGTGGAGCATGGCAGCTCCTAAACCTCAGCCACCTCTGGAAACAGCCAAAAATGCCACCTTGCCTTTTCCCCTTTAAAGAAAACAGTCCTTTAAAGAAAAGACTGCCTCTAGTGTGAGACAGAAGCCCTCCTATGCTGAGATCTGGAGGAGAATGCCCCGGACGCCTCACTCGGGGTTGGCACGCGGACACCAGCACCCTCCAGACCTCCTCCCGAGGGACGTGTGCAGGGTGGTCGGAGGAGCGGCTCGGGAAAGTTCATTGGCCAACTTGTTCCCCGCAGGGGACCCGCTTCACACAAGAGCGACAGGACCGTGGACAGCGCCAATCGCGCGCCGGTGCGGGGGAGGCGGCAGCACCGCGGACAGCGCCAGAGCCGCGAGCCTGGAGAGGGGCGGTCAGCTGACGTCTGACGTCGGGCTGGATCCCCACTTTGATCAGGCGGGTCCGGGGGGCGCGCCGTTCGCTCTCTGAACCGCCGCCCCAGACGCGGTGGGCACGGGACAGGGGCAGGGCAGAAGGCAGTTCCCAGGGGGCAGGCACCTGCCCGGCCTCCCCGCGCGCAGCTGGGTCGCTGCCCGGAGAAGCGCGGGCACCGGGCAGCCCTGGGAGAGCGTCCGCCCTGACGCACAGCCCCGCTCCGGGCRCCCACAAGCCGCGGGGCCGACCCGCGAGACGCTGGGCTCCGAGCGACCGGACAGCGTCTCCGAGGAGGTGAGGCACCCGGGACCAGTCACCTCTTAGGCGGCCCTGGTGGGAGGCTCAGCACCTTGACCCTGCTCTCCGAGACCCCGTCTGCAGCCTCCCCCCCCTCACTCCATCTCTCCAGGACGCTCACCGGCAGGAGGCTGGGCCCCAGTCACGGCGCTGCCCAGAAAGCTTGCCACTGACTAGAGGTTGCCAGCGCCCACACTGGCTCTGGGGGCAGTGGCCACCTTGAGTCCCCTGAACACCCTTTGTGCGAGCACCGTGGCCCGTGTTCTGGTCCCGAGATGGATTTGCCTGTGAACTTGACCTTTTCCCTCTCCACTGCCTCCTTTCTGGAGCCCAACCGCAGTCTTGGTGCGGAAAACCTGCGCCCCAGCCCACCCCTCCCCTCGGTCTTTGGAGTGCTGGTTCTGACCCTGCTAGGCTTTCTGGTAGTGGCCACGTTCGCCTGGAACCTGCTGGTGCTAGCGACTATCCTCCGAGTGCGCACTTTCCACCGTGTGCCACACAACCTGGTGGCTTCCATGGCCATCTCGGACGTGCTGGTGGCCGCGCTGGTCATGCCGCTGAGTCTGGTGCATGAGCTGTCGGGGCGCCGCTGGCAGCTGGGCCGACGTCTATGCCAGTTGTGGATTGCGTGCGACGTGCTTTGCTGCACAGCCAGCATCTGGAATGTGACGGCCATAGCCCTGGACCGCTACTGGTCCATCACGCGCCACCTGGAGTACACGCTCCGCGCCCGCAAGCGCATCTCCAAAGTGATGATCATGCTTACCTGGGCACTCTCGGCTGTCATCTCTCTGGCCCCGCTGCTTTTCGGCTGGGGGGAGACATATTCTGAACACAGTGAGGAGTGCCAGGTCAGCCGTGAGCCCTCCTACACCATCTTCTCCACCGTGGGCGCCTTCTACTTGCCGCTGTGCGTGGTGCTCTTCGTCTACTGGAAGATCTACAAGGCCTCCAAGTTCCGCGGGGGCTCCAGGAAGACCAACAGAGTCTCACCTGAACCTGAAGTTGTGGAGGTGGGTGCTGCAACGACCCTTAAAAATACTTCACTTGCAACTGTGCAGGGTTTATCTCTCCTACTCCTCCCCCATGATGCAGAAAAAAAAAACTTTTTGGTTGAGGGGGGGGCGATATCCTGGAAAGAGAAAGTGAACACCAGACCCTCCTGTGGTGCAGAGCTACGCATGTCATTTGTGGCTCTGAGGGATCATTGCCGTACATATAAAATGAGGGGTTTGAGCTCCATGTTCTGCTTGATCCCCTCTGGCTCTAAAACCATGTGGGTCTGAAACACCATTTAGAACATCTGAAAAAGCTGGTGTCTGGGGTACACTGAGTCAATACCCTGGAAAAACCTGCATCTTCCTGCCCTGAGAGCAGGATACTCTTGGGCAGGAAGTGAGCATGATTGCTAGGAAGATGGCCACGCATCAGTCACAACAGCTTAGGGTTTTGTTTCAGCCCTTTTTTCTTTGCAAATTATAGCAACTGACTTTGTAAATACGGCATCTCCTAGGCTACGAGCTGTCATTGTAAGCATCCTTGCCTCCTGGCATAAGATTAAAGATGTTTACAATAGTCTCAGTGCCTGCATCTGCTGTCTGCTTCTGTTGCCTTGTGGGGCTACTTTCTGGGTCTGTCCCTATGGCCCCATAAGGCTGCATGTGCAGCTGAGGGCCACTTGTCTGCCTTCCTGATCAGGAGTGAAACTGCAGGAGGAAATTAAAAACCAGGGCAGATAACTCCCCTGCTCCCTACAAGCAGCACCGAATATGTGACAACAGTGAAGCCTTTTCTCATCTTCTCCCACACTTGCTTCCCTGCTTTTTGTTAACTCTTCGTAATCTGACCCTGTGAATCAAAATTCTGAAGTTACAGGAAAGCAGAATCCACTGGATGTGGAGACTGTGCTCTCCACCCTTCCCCTCTTCATGACCAAGGATGCCCCTTTGAACCTCAGTCACATATTTAAGTTGTTATTGGCTCCAGGACAACAAATACAATTAATTTATAAGTGTATGTATGCATATTATGGCTTGATGCAACAAGTTAAGGAATGATAACACATGGTCTTTGCACATGAAGAGTTTTCTCTGGTGAGGGAGATAGACGCCCCTCTGGAGCCCTGCATGTGGCTGCATTTCCTGTAGTCAGTACTTCATTCTGTCCAGACCCAGTCATTCAAGCTTAGAGGGACCAAAGTTGTGGCTAGGGGAAGAAGGGGAGAGTATTATTCTAAAGTAAAGAAGGAAAAAGGGACCAGAGGATACCGTGTCCTCAGCCCAGGGTGATATTGCAACCCAGGGAATCCTGACTATCTGGAGACATCTGACAATCAAGACCTGGGCAGGTGTGCCAATGGCATTTGTGCAGAGAGGCCAGGGCTGCTGCCCAACATGTGTGATGCACAGACTGGCCACCTCAGACCAAATGTCCACAGTGCCACGTTTTGGAAACTCTGATCTGTTGAATTTCTACATGATTCAAGGAGTACGGTCAGGTATAAATGCTAGGGCTTCCACTACAGAGCCCTGAGCCAGCTCCATATGTGTGACTGTCCACCCAAATTCAAGGTCAGGAGCAAGAGGACGGGCCACCTCCAAGGGCCTTCTTCACATGAACCTTCTTCAGCCAGGATGCTCATCCAGGCAAACATGGTTTTCAGTTAACACCACACGCAGCTTTAGGAAGCAAAATTAATTGAAGTTCTAATTCAAGACTTATTGTGCAACAAAGAGCACTGCTCTATTTCTCTGCTTTGATGATAGGGGAAGCAAAAGCATTATGTCGTGTGTGTGTGTGTGTGTGTGTGTGTGCACGCACGCGTGTACACACACACACACACACACACACACACACACACACACAGCTTGTTTTTGCTCTCTTTGCCAGATTACTTTTGGAGTCAGATCCTGTGGTTTGCAAGGCCTCTGCATGATCCAGGGCTCTGCACATGATGCAGGGCTGCCTTGGTCCTTATGTTGAAGGGTTAATTACAAACCAGGCTTCCTGATTGCTCTGTGATAATGGGTGTCAAAATTTCTAAATACAGTTCTACCACCAGCTAGCTGTGTTACCTAGGGAGACCACATCGCATCTTCCTAGTTTCTTTATCTGCTGAGTTTTATTCAAATTTATGCTGAAGCCCTAACCTATGTGAGACCCTCTGCTGGGAACTGCCACACAAGACCAACTGGCCTGTCCTTGCACAGGATGAGGGGCCACTCCTGAAGCTCTGAAGCAATATGACAGACAGCCAGGCTGGTCAGGCATGCCCCCCTGAGCAGAGAGCAGGATGCAGGTCTTAAGGGTGCTCTGGGAGGTGYAGAGCTCAGGCTCGGCCCCCAGGTGCGAGGGTGTCGACACCATCTGAGCAAGCAGCTGTTGTTTGCTTGTATCTCTGGGGGTGCTCATTGAGCACACCCCTGGTGGGCTGACTTAGAAGTGCGGGGCTGACACTCAGAGGCTGGTTTGTAAAAGCACCATCACCAAACTGAGTTGCCCAGGATTAGTGGAAYAGCTTAAAGTTGGCTCTGCATTTCAGTCTTCTCCTCAGTCTACGGAACATTCAATTTTCAGCCCCCCACTCTTGGACCTCATGTAGCCAAAGCTTCTGGAGAGACCATGGAGAGCTGTCCACGTTTTCGCCCCTGGTTTTGGTTCTCCTTGAAGGTGAGGTTTCACCTGTGAAGAGCTGATGGTAAGATSGCATGTCCAGGGACAGGAGTGTAGCTCAGTGCGGGAGGACATGCCTAGCATGCAGAAGGCTCTGGGTTCCATCCCCAGCCCTGGGAACAGGGAGGACTGCGMATCAATTAGCATGATTTTAGCCTTCTTTAAGAGTCATGTGTTAAATCACCCATCAGGTCAGCCTTGTGCAGAAGCATGTGAAGTCCTGGACTCTGAGCAAACAAGTGTAACTAGACACACTATAAGGAAGGGACCCCAAGAGCTCCTGAATGCTCCTGAGATCTCCCAGTTCCGCTCTGAAAGCAAGTCCCAAAGGTTCCAGGCATCTTTCTATGTATCTAGGTTGACTTTTCTTCTAGCTTAAATATAGATAATTTTCTGCTGTATTAATCCAGTTACAGCATAAGGAATTAGCTCTGCTTGCCTAAAAGAAATGTAAGGCTATTCCATTAATCATGACCATGTGGGTTAGGATACTTAAGCTGCTTTATTATGGCCTTAAAGCCTAGGCTGTAAAATTYGCTATGCCACCAACATAGGCATTATTCACTATGCGTTTTTTTTTTTTAAATGAAAACCTGTATTTATCTAACTTCTATGAATGTGGTCACTATCATAGTGTTTTCACTGAAAAAGGTGTATCCTCTGGAACTTTGTAAGGAGATACAGTCCACGAAAGTATGAGAGAGTAAACCCTAGAGTGACCTGATTTATGGTTCTGTTGGGCACTTCACCTGGCTCCTGGGAGAACATGGAGAAGCTTCCCTCAGCACAGGATGACGGCCCAGGATCTATGCAGGAGGTCAACTTCAATGTGATCAACTCCAACKTAGTTGTAGATACATGGTTCATGAGTACTACCCAAAGATCACCAATTCCCAGGGTCATCTGCTTGTTTCAAGGCTTTGGTCGGCCACCAGTGTCCACACTTCTGCATTAGAGGCCCYCTGGAAGCCCTCAGTTTAGAACTATTTTAGGTGGCACCAAGTTATCCAGAAATTTACATTATTATTTTTAAAGAGGACCTGAAGAAGATGCTTCTAGAGAATGTTAAATAAGTGAATTATTCTGAACACATACATTTGTTACTTTAGTATTTTTAAGTATTTATTTTTTAGTTATAGCTGGACACAATATCTTTATTTTATATTTATGTGGTGCTGAGGATTGAGCCCAGTGCCTCATGCGTGCTAGGCAAGTGCTTTCCCTCTGAGCCCCAGCCCCAGCCCACGTTACTTTACTTTTTAATCTTCTCTTTTATTTGAGTAAATTGGCATGTCCTGGAAATGGCCACGGTTCAGCCATTGAACAATTTGACTTCTGCAGGAAATTGAATTTCATAAGAGAGACTGGACTGCTTATTTTATATCAAACCTGGTTTTGTCCATTTTATTAATATTTATTAAATAAAATATCCATCTCCAAACAATAGTCAGTTGGAGCATGGACCTAGTGTTGCAAAGGTCTGATCTATACAAAGTCACGTCAGTCTCAGAAGCACCATCAGGATGCTGTGATTCCATTGGCTGAGGATTTTAGAGTGGCCTGGTGGGTCCTGTTTGTTTGAGCACTGGCTGGTACTGGGAAGGGAAAATCACTACTACTCAACTGGCGGGAACCATTGGGTCATTTTAGTTAGCAATTGGGGCACATTACATGTGGTGACCCAAGATTTAAAGGCCTACCCTAAAGTGTTGACTACTTTAGTTGATGCTGGCMATTGGCAGGGAGGCAAGGCCTTGGTGACTCGATGAAGTGGGGACTAGAATAGGTCATTGTTCTTCCACAGGTGTGACCTCGTGGTGAGCTGCATAGAGCATGGCTCAGCATGTTCTTTTATGTATGAAGATAAAAGTTTATGACAACCCAGGAAGAATTCGTCTGAATCCATGCATTCTATGCCAATGGATCTGTCTGGCTGTGGGGTCTCCTGTCCTAGAACAGAGTTCTAGTAACTTCTTGAGCTACACACGGTAGAGGTATTCTCATGCCTAGATCAACTACAGTCTGGTCAAGTAGAGGGCTGCAGCTCTCATCTGGAAGCAGATCCTACCTGTTGAACTTGTGGATATGTCACAGGAATGAAAGAAGTTGTCTTCTGATAATGACCTTGAACATCAGTTGTAAGTTGGCACATAGGATTGCTAAAGATTCTTGCTACTTGAATTTTTCTATCAAACAAAGTTGACTTTCCCTCAAGCCTTTAAAATATTTAGTATGTAGTCATAAATTTGTCTTTCATTATTTCCCTTTACCRTCTGCTACAACCAATCATCTTGTTAAAGAAATTATTTCCTGTTCTTAATTTTWAAAAACTTACTACAAGTTGATTTGCTTCTTTGCTTTAGCTAACTTTAAAAATTTATGCTGAATGATCCGATGTTCTGTAGTGGAGTTAGAGGTGGTCATAGGGAACCTCACACAGCAAGAAAGACATTCCTAATCACCCTTGGATGGTGAGAAGGGTGGGGATTTGTTGGGTGGTAACATCTCCCTTGAAGTTGCTTTGTTGGACCGACTTTAGATGGCTGTCATTCTGCTTTTTAGCCAGTCTAGGATGTTGAGCCTCTTAAGGACCTGTTTGCTGGGGTCATACATATATAGTAAGGCTGAGGCTGGCAGGACTGACCGTGATGCGTAGGACAGAAGCTCTGTGCTTGCTCAGCAGTTCATACTGGTAAACAGTGCCTCAGGGTCTCAGATCTCTGACCACATAGAGGCAGGGAGGGGCCTTGCGATTACTACCCCAACCATCATTGAGCTGGACACCCATTAAACACAGTGGCACACTCACAAATTTCCAGGACAGGATGGTTCTCCCAGATGTTTTGTAGGAGACCCAAAGCAAAGTTTGACCATTAGTTTTTCACAAGCTGGCCAGTTGTCTAAAAGTCCTCAAAGCATCTTGGACCCTCAGGTCTGCTTGAGTTGCATTGGAAGCTTACCAGGCCTATGCCTTCTAGAATAATCTCTTTCATCATCATCAGAAAAAGGCATTCCAAGACCCACAAAAAACTGAACCCAAGACTTTGTCCATATAGGCAAACATAGCTAAACCCAAGTCAGCAGCAGTAGAGCGTCATCATGTTTGCTAGTGGTACAACTTCAGACAATAGGTCTAAAGCTTTATATAATGGTCTAAGTCAATGACCTAATGGTAGACCTCTCAATCAGAAACCTAGGTACTTCATACAAAGACCTTGGCCTCGTGACCTTGTGTCAGGACATACTTGGTTACAAACCCTAGGACAGTAAAGTACATTGAGCAGCCAAGCCCAGGGGACTCAGAGGAACTCAGACCACCAGCATCAGTACTTACCTACAGAGCTGAAGGGCAGCTGGAGTTGRGGCCCAGTGAAGGTACCTGGGTCCAAGGATGCCACAGTCCACAGGGCCTGAGTGGGACCACCAGAACTGTGCAAGGGTGAGATGGAAAGACCCGCTGATTCGTGGCACYGATTGTTAAGAGAAAGCTCTGGGCTTCAGGCATCGGCCCCAGAGCAGAGAAGCCTGTGCGCCATCCCTGGGGGCTGGGTGCAGGGTGCAGGGGTGATTGGGAGGAGCAGTGAACTGACATCATCTGAACGGTAGGGTTGCTGGGGCTGAGGTTCTCAGAGCTGCACTTTGGGGGGAGCCTGACCCCATCGGCTGGCAAATCATGCAAATGATTTTTGATGCAGAGCARAACACGTGCCACCCAGTGTGACCACCTCCTCGGTGTCACCTGTGGGAACTTCCTGGGGGTGGGAGAGYCTGGCCAGGATTGTTTTTTCATTTTTGGACAATGGGGAAAAATTCTCCCCCTGATATGGTTTTGAAGTTGAGTTTATTTAGGAWATTGGTAAGTGTCCCTGTCTCCTTATTGCTGAAGATTGCATACACATTTCTACAAATGAGTCCCTAGAGACACATTCCCAGATGTGCATGAATAAGATCACAGGTAACTCTGGTTCTGTCTGGGGTGTGAGTGGGATACAGGAAGAGGGATTTTTCACTTCCTCTCATGTCTGATGTTAAAGATTACAGTGCTCTAAACTAGTTGTTCCAATATTTGTCTTCTTTTCAACTGCACAGCACTTGATGTTTTACTTTTTTAACAAATGCCAGCAAGGCTACCATCCAACTAGAATAATGCATACACTGACCRTATTGTTTTAACCACAGTGTTCTTATTTCCATCTCAGATATTCTGAATGACAGATCTGTGTCTTTTGACTCCAATTTATAAATGTATCCACACACTGGTTAAGCGGTTGGACTCAACCAGGCATATTTTCTGATAATCCTGGTGCTGATCAGTYTGCATGTTGCTTAAGGACAAGCTCCTTTAAAATATGCTGGAGCCACAGGATTTTGCTGGAGTCTGGAAGACCATTCAGTCTCACCTGCCAGAGAAGCACCGATTGGCCCAGAACCAGCCGCGCGTTTTGTTGGACTCAATCTGTGAGTTCATCCATCACTTGCAAATCCTTGGAATTCAGGCCGCCACCTCATCAGCCATTCAGTTCCTGTTCTCCTGAGAGCTAAAAACAGGACTGGCCTGGAGAGGAGTTTCTTTCCCAGGAATTCCATTTCCTGGGGGAAGGAAGTGAGCCRGGGCTCAACTCTGCAGGACCCTTCCCTGCAGAGGCCCGGGGAGTCACCAGGAGGGCAGTCCCAGAGTCTGGAGTCTGTCCCACAGGCGGAGATGCCTGCAGTAGGCACACATGAGGGCTGTCCCCTCTGCTGAGCAGGCGGATGCCCCTGCCGTGCCACCTCCTCTCAGATGCAAGTGGACAGCCCAGCTCTGTCACTATGTCCATGTCCCAAGTCGGGTCCCACGGGCCTTGGGTTCCCACACTAAGCCCCACACCTTCCCTCAGAGCGGAGGAGCAGGGCCAGCCCAGGGGCACCTGGCTGGGCCTGGCCGCGTCTGGCAGGTGGGACAAGGGGGCTCTCCACAAAGCTTCTGCTTGTGTCTTGCAGGCGAAGAACTCTGCTCAGCAGCCCCAAATGGCGTTCACGGTCCGCCGAGCCACCGTCACCTTCCAGACAGAAGGAGACACGTGGCGGGAGCAGAAGGAGCAGAGGGCGGCCCTCATGGTGGGCATCCTCATCGGGGTGTTCCTGCTCTGCTGGATCCCCTTCTTTGTCACCGAGCTCGTCAGCCCYCTCTGCTCCTGGGACGTCCCTGCCGCCTGGAAGAGCGTCTTCCTGTGGCTCGGCTACTCCAACTCCTTCTTCAACCCGCTCATCTACACGGCCTTCAACAAGAASTACAGCAGCGCCTTCAAGAGCTTCTTCTCCAGGCAGCACTGAGGAGAGGCCGCCGGTTCTCCTACAGCCCGGGGACTTCCCCCYGGTGCCCCAGGCCCACCTCAGAACTCGGTGGGCTCGGTTCTGCACTCGCCCGAGGGACAGGCCTCCGGAGGCTCCGGTGCCACCACCTGGCCCAGCTCCTCTGCCACGTTCTGCGGCAGCCACTCGCCTGCCAAGAGCCTCTCCTTCCGCAAGCCCACCCCAGCGTGGCTGTCGAGGAGGCGGAGGAAAGGGAGGAGGCAGAGCCAGGGGAGAGGGAGGGACGTCAGAGTGAGAAGCCATCTCGGGGCATGGTGGGGACTCGGTGGGGAGAGAAGACCAACGTCCCAGCTTCCTGGAGGAGCCTCGTTGCAGGGTTCTGCCTGGGGTCTGGTGAGATCTCCCGGCTGAGTATTGGGTATTTACGGTTTTTACTCACAAAATATCATCTCCAAACATATTAAAGGGCATGGCCTCTTCTGTGAGCCGGTGGCTTTTGGCTTTAAGATTTTGTTTGTGGCATTTACACACACACACACACACACACACACACACACACTCACACACACTCACACATACACCCTATGGAAGGACAGTGTTCCAATTGGTAGCTTACTCCAAAGCACGAACCATCGGCTTGGAATAGGTTCTAGGAACCAAATTTAGTATTTTCTGCCCTTTTGAAGCAACTGTCCACAAACATCAGAAAAATGGACTAGTTTCAAAGAATCTGCCAAACTTGCTGATTTGCTCTGGGTTTCGTGTGCGTGGAATYCCTTCAGTGTTTCTGGGCAAAGGCCATCATCCTGGGATCATGGGGTCSGAGTGAACCCACTGTTGTGAAGTTGTGGAGTTCTTGAACACAGCTGCACAGCCAGTGACACAGGCACGGTCACCAGGCGCGTGTGCTTTACCAGGACTGGATGCATCTGTGGTTGCTGCTTTGTTGGCCTGTGAACTCCTGCCAGGAAGCCGACCCGGTGAGCAATGAGGAAGACATTACCATGCCACAGRTGGCCACCCTCCACAGAGCAGCAGTCCAACTGGCCAGGCAGGACGAGGTGCCGTGGCCTTCGTGACCACTTAAGACTTGGCCACACCCACGTCTCCAGAGCCAAAGGACCTAGAAAAATATCCCCAAAGAATCTGAAGAGATAGTAGACACTGTCTTTCTAGAATAGTGTGTGTGTGCTGACCTCGCACCAAGAGCAGATGGTCCCTCATCCACAGGGACCTTCAGGCCAGAGGAGTGTGTCACCGTCTCAGGATACTTAGTTCTMAGCAAAATCCCCACCGATTCACTGCATCTGCAGTGACCATGGCCACAGACGTGAGCAGAGGATCTGTGGGTTAAATCACAGTGATCTATCACAGGATGCCTCTCTATAACCATGGAGAAGCCGTCTGCTGAGGGGTCCCTGGCGAGGGGGCAGGAGAGGCGATGGGCTTTGGCAATCACCTTCAGTAGGACAAAATGGACTTCTTTAATTGACCAGAAGTGCAACTTGCTGTCCTCCTCGAAGGTTTTGACCTTAAGTGAAGCAGATGTTCCCCAAGACCAGAGACCTGCCGTGTAGGAACATTGGCCTCGAGTGACTGTGTCTTACACTAGGGGACTCCGTCTGAGCCACTGTCTCACATCCACACAGGACGGACAGCAAACTAGGCCTCTTCCTCATCCCTAAGAACAGGCCTCAGATCCGTAAACCGTTTCTCACAACAAGGCTGTGCTACAGGTAATTGTTAAGCAAGGGCTTTTTTACCTCACTCAGAACTGATAGAATACATTGGAGACTCCTTGGGGAACCCTGTGAAGTGCTTGCAATGTGTTCTAAGTCGAGTAAAATCTGAGCTGTTTTCTTAACTAACCATGGCTCTTTAGTCAGCAGCCCTCGGTGTGACCAATCTTAAAAGCAAAAAGCAAGTAGGAGCATGATGGTTTGCCTCTTTGCTGTACTTCTTTGAACTCTAGGTATAAATAAGCCAACTGTTGGTGTCTACCAGATTCTGTGATAAATATGTACAAAAGGTACCGTATTTCATCCTGTCACACCAAAGGATTCTGACCCCTCCAGATCACCCCTGTCATAGCATCTGGTGATTTCACCCACATCAAGTAGCAACCAAATAACAATAAACCTTGGCCATTGCCCAAAACTTTAGCCTGCTCCTGGCCAATAAGCTCCCTGTGGCTGCTGTGTCCCTGTCCTTGCATAAGTTCAAAAGCTGTGTCTTACAAGGCTCTCTGAATTATTCTGGCACACACAATAATAAATGTGTAACACATTGTGTAGAATAAACTTCATCAGTTAAGCTTTCCAAAATAGGAAGTGAATGATGATTTCTTTGTGTTCTGACTTGAACTTTCRTATCCCATTGACTGCGAAGCCCGTTATGGGAGGGAATGTCAGACACTGGTCCTCATGACTCGGAAGCTGAAGTCAGGCGCCTTGTCTGCCCTGCAGGAGGAAGATTCATTGAGGGACTTACCAGGACACGTCTTTAAATTTCCCTTCCTTCTGTATGTATCTTTTGCACTACTGAACTCACAGATATTTAAAAGCACACACTATTATTTACTCACTTTACCCGTCTCCACTTGGAACGAGAGAGGTCCTCAAATGCCATTTGTATTCCAGTGTCATAATAGATGAAGCCATCCATCAAGTGACCCACAGAAGAAAAAAGTAAACTCCGACATGGGAATCCAGAGAGCAGAGTCCGGAGCAGGTTTCAATGTCAGATTTACCTGAATGTGCACGTGAGGGCTCTCCTGCTCTCCTGAGGTCAGCGTTTGTCAAACTTTTCTTAAATGGAAATTGGGAAGACATGTGGTTCCAATGCTTCCTGACTCCCCCATGGTTCTGTACACCCAATAGAGAAAGACGCTGTTATGATATTAATTCAGTCTCCAGCTAAGGTGATTATCAACCTTTTCATAAGATGACTAAGATGAAGCCCCTTATCAGCCAATATGTATTTGACGTGTCCCAGACAGTGCTGACATGATAGAAAACACATTCTCCCTGTGATAGCTCGAGCAGAAAGCACTTGGTGTACAAGAAGGAATAAGTGGCAATTAATGAATTATTTTGCTTTTCATATTTATCCCAGGGGAGAAATATCATGATTCTGATTTTGATTGAGTCTGTTGTGTGCAATTTAAATACTTTCATTTACTCTTGGTGGCAAACRTGTTATCAGGTTAGCAATAAACCCAAATCACAAACATAAAGAACCTATTAAACAGCAGCTCCCTGTCCTTGTGCCTTAAGGTAGGGAAACAGAGGGGAAGAGGGTTTCCTGCACATCCTGGATTCTCCACGGCCACCAGGCCACCCGGGAAGCTCCTGCAGAAGATGTCCATGAAACAGCAGCTCTGTCCCCACTCAAGATGTCACACTAAGAAGGCAGTTCTCTGGAGACGGACGGTCTTATACTCCTCAGGGTCATTTCAAGTTTTGATTTTCCTTGTAGAGTGGTGAGGGGCAGTAGCTGCTTCTGACTCTGTATTGACCCAAGGTCATTTCATGGATCTTATTCCTGAGATGAGCTGATTATTTGCTGCTCCTCCTAAGAGGGGCCCTTCTGCTTCTGTGCTGGTCTGGTGGCCTCTGTGCTCTCCTCGTCGTCCAGAGGCCATGAATGCAGTGACCCGTGGCCCTGCTGTTAGGAAGGACTTAGCCTGAGCCTGAACTCATAGTGCACATGGATTGCTAGCTGCGGTTGACTGAGCAGGGGGAGACGAGGCTTCTCGGTGTGGGCCAGTGTCGGCCCTGYACTCTCTGGAGCTCAGGGGCCCTGACTGGCTGCCTACGCGCGGCTGTGGGCTGGATGGTCTTCCTTCATCACAAGGAGCCCCACCTGGCCTTGGCCTCACTGTGCATGCAAGGCACCTKCCCAGGGTGCGGGCGGCCATCTGCAGGCTAAGTGACTCTGTTAGGAACTGTTGGTTCCACATGGTTCCTTCCAGCCRTCTCTGCCTTCTGCTCTGGCTACATTCAGCCTTCAGTCCTCCTGGAAAGGACACCTGCCTTCAGGCCTCACCTTMGAAGCCCACGACCCTGTCACCTGCAGCCTCTTTTGCCAGCCTTGGGCTGGAGGCTGCTGGGCCAGCGTGGCTGCCCAAGGCAGGATGTCGAGGCAGGAAACTCAGGACAACGTCCAGCTAACTCACAAGGTTCCCTCAGTGTCAGAGGCCACCCTGGACCAGGACTGGTCATCCACTTGTGTTAGGCGCTGACTGCATGCAGGGCAGGGTGMTGAGCACATGAGGTTTGCATTTGGTCCTCAGAGCGGCCCTCTGTGGTCTCTTGAGTCRTGTAAAAACTAGCAGGATTAGAACCTAGGTCTGACACCAAAACCACGCCCTTGGGCTCTGCCCGTAGCATGGAAGCAGCCTTTAGAAGTGAGAAATGGTGTATGGGGTCCAGGAGATGGCAGAGTTTGGGCAGCCACTGCCTCCCGATGTCCCCACCCAGGGCACCTGCACACCAGCTTCCCGAGGGGCCCTTTGAGCCTTCTCCACTGCATCCTTGTAAAATCTGGGGCCTGGGTGTCACCCATGAGTGACCCCAGCTCTCCAGTCAGCTCTGCCCTGTGTCAGGACCAAACRGACTCACACACCTTGGCTGAGGGCCCAGTGGGTCCCACACAAGGTTCTGGACAGATGGGAGACTCTGGGTGGGAGTCGGGAGGGATCGGCGCTCGAGGGTGACTGGGTAACTGGTAAAGGGAGGTGCTGCTGCCGACCTCCGTACCCTTAAAGCCCGGGCCACATCACCTCTGGCAAATGCCCCGTGTTGCCCTTCCGTCCTTCCCGGACCTCTGTAGACCCGGGTGGAGAGAAGCCACACTTCACCCGCCTGCCCTGCCAGCTCTGGAGGGAGACTGGGGGCTGCAGCAGAAGAGGGACCTCGTCCCCGTGGCCAGTCTGTGGTGAGTGGGAGCACAGGGCAGCAGCAGCTGGGCCCTGTGGGCCTGTGTCCCGCCCTTGCTGTACTCCCTTGGAGTGCCAGCACTGCCAC